TGTTAATAGACATGCGGATTGTACCTTCCAAAATTAACAATCGAATGCAAATATCCTGAAAGACAAAGGATTGAATCCTAGGGGGGGGGAGTTATAAGGCGGCTCAGAAGCAGAGCTCAATGCCATTTCGAGAGGGAACTTGATGAGGTTGGACGCTCGACTCGTCGCTCTGCTGATCGCCCTTCAACCGCGAGACAACGCAGCCTGGCGAGCACAATTGCTGTGTCGACAGTTAGGCGACTTTGCGTCGGGAGAGTTCGTGGCGACATCTTTAGACGGGTTACAGACACCGATATACCGTGAATCTCCAAGTAAGTGTCTATTTTCGCGGATAAACTCTTAAACGTGTTCGTCGTCAAATTTACGGGAATTCTTTGCGTCTCGATTAGACGCGAGAGTATTTTTGACACCATAACACCACTGCTGTTACTACGCTCACATGGAGCAGAGACGCTCTCCACAGCCCCACGTACACGGAGGCAAGAAGCCATTCAATTGCTCTGTGTGTGGGAAGTCCTTTTCATGGCCATCTGATCTTAAGAGACACCAGAGAACGCACACGGGCGAGAAGCCGTTCCTGTGCCCTGTGTGTGGAAAGGCATTTGCAAAGTCATCATATCTTCAGAGTCACCAGAAAACACACACGGGTGAGAAGCCATTCCTGTGTTCTGTGTGTGGGAAGGCATTTGCACGGTCATCAACTCTTCACGATCATAAGAAAACACACACGGGCGAGAAGCCATTCCTGTGCCCTGTGTGTGGGAAGACATTTGTACAGTCGTCAAAATGGAACAGGCATCAGAAGGTCCACGATGATAGGAAGCTGAAATCAAAAGGTGGAATTCAAGGTGCTGCAATGATTCCTGAAGATAATTCCACTATCGATCCCATGCAGTTGGATCCCGAGAGATGGCTGGATGTAATGGAGTGGCTAGAGGATCAACCCGAGAGCTCGGGGTGACTGAAATATAATGTTGCATGTAGTTATACCTATTAAGCCGTATCGAGCACTTTTGTGTGTAATTCTGTTCGTTTGAGAGTTTCTTGACGTGCAGGTGGTGATTTTTGATTTTGTCGGATTTAAGTCTTCCTGTTGAGCTAAAGTTGGAATGCATCTGTAGTTAGATCTTTACTCAACATTTTAAACGGGTTTTTTTCAAGTATAAAGTTTTTTTTGGATGGTAATAATCTGCTTTGGTATGTACATTGATGACGCGTTCGTTGGATATATGGCCTTGACTTCAACATAGACGCACAGTGAACAAACATGGTGAACTAATAAGGACATCATGGGTAATGATACTTTAGCGCTTTGGTATTCCTGGAACGGATATGGTTTGCATTGTATTGTAACATAGGACAAAATACATTCGGTTCGAGTTTTGACTTAAAAATGATTGCAGATGAATAAAAAAGTTTTTTTTAACAAATGTGTGTCCGTTTATGTATTCATATCAACAACGTGTTTTAAGCGAGTTTCAGGTGGAGGATCTTCGTCACACAACCATATAAACGGAGGTAAGGTATTATAATATCATTAGAAGCATTAGAATCACAGTGTGGTCGTATAAGAATCGCTAATATGTATGTATAGTGTACGTGCAAGGATCGGATAAAAATTATTACAATTACAACATGGTCATATACAATCACGATTTTCACTGCTAGATGTCATCGATTAACAAGACGGAATATATTTATATAAATACACGCACAAACCAATTATAAACGCTTGCGATTATGAATCGTTACAATTTTATAACAATCACAAATTGTAACAAAGCGAAATTCCAACAAGCAAAACACCACGCTCACGTGATTGCTGAGGATGAGTGGTGAGGGAGAGTGGTGAGGGTGAATGGTGAGTGCTGAGTGGTGAGGGTGTGTATATATGTAAGGTTATTAAGACATATTTTTCACCCGGGCAACGCCGGGTACTACTGCTAGTTAATAATATACAGCATTGATATTTTGCGTGGAGCCTACAAGCGCAACCTTGCGCATTTTGACCTGGTTCTCGACGCCCGTCCCGCGCCCATGGTAGAATCTTGTGCATTTCGGGGCGTCAAGGGTTCGCACCACAGCCTTGAAGGATTAGGCAGGTCCCTGGCTTCTTTTGAAGAATATGACCAGGCTCCAGGCACTGGATCCTCGCACGTGGCGGATCCTTGAGGCACCCCGGGCCTCAGGGGCTCGGAAACTGTGGGCGCCACAAGACATTTCATTTGGAGTACGGTTTCCATTGCCGAGTGCCCCACCACGTCGGACACACCAGACTTGGCCTGTACAGGACATGGGGATGAGCTGTCTGGGTGTGGACGGACATAACTACATGCGTACACACTGCGGCCATTTCACCTCTATGACTTCTACCTGTCGCCGCCGTGGGCGGAGCAACTTGGGGGACGTACCCGGTGTCACCTTTGGGCAATACAACCTGTCTACGACCGCCCATGGAAGCACGTGTTCCCGCCGCCCCGTGTTCTTTTAATTAGCGGCTTGCGCTCTGGCAGGGAAAGTTCCTCGTTGTAAATCGTTTCACAACGTTCTGGTCCCGAAACCCGAAGTATACGGGGGATCACCTGTACTCTATAACATGTAAACTGATAACACTATGAACAATAACACTAAACATTCAACGACGACTTTAATTTTTTTTATAATAGATTCCACCATAAACGGAGTTACGGTATGAGAATGTCATTAGAAGCATTTTAATCGCTCATATGTATGTAAAGTGTAGGTTCAATCGAATCGGGGGACGGATATGCGAACTATGGGTGTTTGCAGGGTTAGAATCGAATTAAAATTATTCTAGTAACAATATGTTCGTATGCGCATTTTACTGTGCTTGAATATATGTTATGTGCAAATGCGAATCGTTAGTCATAAATGCGAGGCAGGGTTTAAAATGTGCATGTTTAATCCAGTGTTAACGTTAATCCAGTGTTAGCATTATATTTAAGGACAATATTGTTAATATCAATTCGTCTGGACATGGCACGTGCCTTGTTCGTCTCGATCAACCAAATTAGTTCAATGTCGGTCATAAAGGAGTGCGAGTTCATTCATAAGCAGTATTCGCTGATCCCCGATGACACAGACCTATACACACAAACAAAGTACTCTTTATTAATTTAATTATCAGCTCAGACATCTTCATCTCAATCATTTCTAAAGACGTGTGGGGTCCCGCGAGAGCAGGGCCTGGCAACAAATATCTGAGCAGCGGAAGCAGCAGAATCAAAAGTAGCTGCGTCGCCCTCGAAATGTGATGTTGCTGCTGCTGTATTTGCTTCTGCGTCGATCAAGATTGACGCTCTTGATCAACTCTGACATTGTAAACTCTCACATGTTAAACTCTAACATAGTGAAATATAATATTATAACCTATGAACTACAACCTAGCCATTGTTACGCTTTAAAATACGATTAACTGTTATAGTGCAGAACCACATAATTGGAGGTGTGGGATTATAATCGCATACTAATCATTAGAATCGCACTGAGCTAATTAGAATCACACTGTGGTTGTACGTATGGTAAGTTAATATGCCAACCGGGGGTAGGATATGCAGGATTAGAATCGAATTACAATTATTCGAATCCCACTCGTATTAGAATCACACTTTCCACTGTTGGATGAATGTGTAGTATCAATGGAATCGAATAGCCATATAAGTATATACAGTATACACAAATAAAGAGTATAACAATCACACATTGTAACATAGATACAATACACATTATTTAAAAAAACGTATTTACAAATATATATTCCACTTTTTTAAAACTCAGAATGTCGTCGTTCATGTGGGGAGATGGAGCGCAGTGGATCGTATCGTCTAAGCTTCTTTTCGGAATCCGTGTGATAACCCAGTCACAACTCCAGTTGCAGCACCTTACCAAAAATACATCTCCCAACAAGGCAGCCTTACCGATGCTGTGTATTGTGTTTATGGGATAACAGAGGTGTGTATTTTCCCATAAGCCTTGCCCAAAACGACTGATTGTCCGCTTAACAGCCTAGCCTGTAAACAACCATTGGTGATAGTGTTGTTTGAGAGCAGCTATTAAAGTCGTTTTGGCAAACGAGGTGGTGGCTGGCCAAACCATGCCTCGCTGTTTGTCTCCAGAGTGATGACGGATACAAACCAGACCAAGCGGAGACCACGTACCAGATCGGATTTTGGTTACTGATGTTAGAGTGATTGTATTGCAAGTGTGGTCACTACGCGTCTGTACGTGCTCACTCCCGAAGCTCGGCGATTTTTGGCAACGCCACGGGGCTGCATTCACTTTAAATCGAGGACAATGGAGGGCATGGGAACGTGTTTTTCTATTTATTCAAAATAAGCGCACAATTACACACTGAGATGCACTTACATATTCATGCATGAAGCATAATGGGCACATTACCCTTCGGTATGTTAATAGACATGTGGATTGTACCTTCCAAAATTAACAATCGAATGCAAATATCCTGAAAGACAAAGGATTGGATCCTCGTGGGGGAGTTATAAGGCGGCTCAGAAGCAGAGCTCAATGCCATTTCGAGAGGGAACTTGATGAGGTTGGACGCTCGACTCGTCGCTCTGCTGATCGCCCTTCAACCGCGAGACAACGCAGCCTGGCGAGCACAATTGCTGTGTCGACAGTTAGGCGACTTTGCGTCGGGAGAGTTCGTGGCGACATCTTTAGACGGGTTACAGATATAGCGTGAATCTCCAAGTAAGTGTCTATTTTCGCGGATAACATCTTAAACGTGTTCGTCGTCAAATTAGCGGGATTTTTTTGCGTCTCGGTTAGACGCGAGTGTCGTTCTTGTTTTAGCAGTTAACAAAATCTAAAACTAAACGCTAAACATCCTTACGGCCGATAGCGTACTTTTGACTCAATAACACAGCTGCTGTTACTACGCTCACATGGAGCAGAGACGCTCTCCACAGCCCCACGCACACGGAGGCAAGAAGCCATTCAATTGCTCTGTGTGTGGGAAGGCATATTCACGGCAATCAAGTCTTAAGAGTCACCAGAGAACACACACGGGCGAGAAGCCTTTCCTTTGCTCTGTGTGTGAGAAGGCATTTGCACGGGCATCAACTCTTCAAACTCATCAGAGAACACACACGGGCGAGAAGCAATTCCTGTGCTCTGTGTGTGGCAAGACATTTGCACAGTCATCGCATCTTCAGAGTCATCAGAGAACACACACGGGAGAGAAGCCATTCCTGTGCCCTGTGTGTGGGAAGACATTTGCACGATCATCACATCTTCAGAGTCATCAGAGAACACACACGGGCGAGAAGCCATTCCTGTGCCCTGTGTGTGGGAAGACATTTGCAGACTCATCAACTCTTCGAACTCATCAGAGAACACACACGGGCGAGAAGCCATTCCTGTGCTCTGTGTGTGGGAAGGCATTTGCAGACTCATCGACTCTTCAAACTCATAAGAAAACACACACGGGCGATAAGCCGTTCCTGTGCTCTGTGTGTGGGAAGGCATTTGCACAGTCGTCAAAACGGAACAGGCATCAGAAGGTCCACGATGATAGGAAGCTGAAATCAAAAGGTGAAATTCAAGGTGCTGCAATGATTCCTGAAGATAATTCCACTATCGATCCCATGCAGTTGGATCCCGAGAGATGGTTGGATGTAATGGAGTGGCTCGAGGATCAACCCGAGAACTCGGGGTGACTGAAAAAATATTATGTCATGTGGCTATACCTCAATCACGTGCACAGTGGTGGTTTGTAATGTTATCGGATTACTTGCCGAATTGGTGTGGTGAGCACTGGTTGTGAGAGGGTTCATTGTAGTCGTTAGGTGTTCCTGTTGAGCTAAAGTTGGAATGCGTCTGTAGGTAAATCTTTACTCAACATTTTAAAGATTTTGTGTCAAGTGTAGAGCTTTTTTTTTATTAATTTTTTTTTATTAATCGATTTTAGATAGCCGATTTCAGGATGTACATTGATGACGCGTTCGTTGGATATATGGCCTTGACTTCAACATAGACGCACAGTGAACAAATGTGGTGAACTAATAAGGAAATCATGGGAAATGATACTTTAACGCTTTGGTATTCCTGGAACGGAAATGGTTTGCATGGTACTGGAAATGTGTGAACATAGGACATAATAAATATTCCCTTCGAGTTTTGACGTAAAAATGATTGCAGATGAATAAAAACGTATTTTAACAAATGTTTGTCCGTTCTTTATTTTATAATGTTCATTGCAAAAACATGTTAAGATAATTTCAGGTGGAGGATCTCCATCACACAAGTGTGCCCTTAACCGGCAGCATCTTGGCTGTCTACCCAATTAACACGTGTTCCTTGAGGGGAAAGGTCCCCGTAGTTAATCGTTCATCAACGTACCAGTCACTAATCCCGAAGTATGTCGGGGATAAACTTTACTTTATAACATGTAAACTGTAATACTATAAACGATAACACTAAACATTAAACGATTATAAACTAGTGTTTTAATTTATAACCATATGCAAAGGTCGGATATAAATTATTACGATTACAACATGGTCATATTACAATCACGATTTTCACTGCTAGATGTCATCGAATAACAAAAGACGGAATATATTTATAGATTATGAATGGTACTCCTGCAACTGCGCCAACCACCGGGCCATCTTCCCCCGCGGCTCCTTGAATGTAAGAAGGAACTGAAGAGCATAATGGTCAGTGCGTACGCGACATCTCCGGCCGTACAAATACGGCCGGAACTGTTTACATGCGAAAATCACAGCGTACAACTCTTGGCGGGTCACGCAATAGTTCAGCTCGGCCCCACTCAGGGTCCGGCTGGCGTACGCGATGACTCGTTCCGTCCCATCTTGTACCTGTGACAACACCGCGCCCAGCCCGCTGCTGCAGGCGTCGGTGTCCAAAATAAAATCGGTGGTAAAATCGGGGAAAGCGAGGGTGGGGGCGTGGGTGAGGTGGTCTTTGAGAGTGGTGAAGGCCGTCTGGCAGGCCCCCGTCCACTGATAGGGGTGCTTAGGGGAAGTGAGTTGGGTGAGGGGGCGTGCAATCTCGCTGAATCCCTTTACAAATCGACGATAATAGGTGGCAAGCCCCAAAAATGATCTGATCTCCGTCAAATTCCTTGGCCGTGGCCACTCCACTACGGCGCGTACCTTCTCCGGATCGGTGCGCACGCCTGCCTCGCTGACGCGATGCCCGAGGTACCCCACCTCGCGTTGTGCGATGTAACACTTACGTGGCTTGAGCTTGAGATGAGCCGCTCGCAGTCGCTGGAACACCTCTCGAAGCCTGGACCAATGCTCAGACAAAGATCTACTGAACACTATCACATCGTCCAAGTAAATCAGGCACTGTTCCCATTGCAAGCCCCGCATCACCAACTCCATCAGCCGCTGGAACGTCGCGGGCGCATTGGTGAGTCCGAACGGGAGTACTCGAAACTCGAATAATCCCATCGGGGTGGTGAATGCGGTTTTCGGCCGATCCTCCTCCGCCATCTCCACCTGCCAGTACCCGGACGCGAGATCGAGGGTGGAAAAATATCGCGCTCCGGCGAGGCTGTCAAAAGTGTCGTCGATGCGGGGTATGGGGAAGGCGTCGCCGAGCGTGACTGCGTTCAGTTTACGGTAATCGACGCAGAACCGGGTTGATCCATCCTTTTTCGTTACTAGTACCACTGGGGCTGACCAGGGGCTCGCCGAGGGCTGAATTATGTTATCGCGAAGCATGTCCCCAACCGCCTCTTTGATCTGGGTGCGTTCGGGTGCGCCCACTCGATACGCAGGGAGTTTGATGGGTCGGGCTGCACCGGTGTCAATTTGGTGCTTAACAAGGTCGGTCCGACCCACGTCCGAGTCGTGTTCGCTGAACACGTCGGCATACTCCCGCAGTAACTCGCGCAGCCGATCGGCCTCTCCCTTAGGTAAGTCCGCCCATGGTACATGTAACGCGTCGAGCAAGGGAACGACCTCGGCTCGGGGAGTCGGGCCGACTCGCCAGGCCAGGTCCTGCTCACCCTCAGGACGACCGGGGTCCTCAGCCCAGAGCGCGAACACCGAGTCGTTAGAGTGGCGTGCGTGCAGGGGGTGTACTGTGGCTATCGGGGTGCGCCGTCGCAGTATCGCTGGGGTATTGTGGGGGTTAAACATCCGCATAAACAATCGGTCCCCATCTGCGTTTACCAACGTGGCGGATCCCACAACCCCATACCGTTTTGCCAACTCCGGGTGAGGAGTTAGCATTACCTCCCCTGATGGTCGGAGCGCGGGGTCGGTGGGGGATGTTGCCACCGGCACCAGCATCTCGGTGAGCGGGCCGATGGTGACTGCCGTCGCCAGGATAGCGGCCACAGGTGCAAAGCGGCGGCGCGTTGGTTCTCGTCCCAGGAACGGGATCCGCTCGCCGTTGCTCTCCATGGTGGCGCATCGCTGGCGGGGTTGCACGTTGAGTCCCAACCGTTCTAGGAGGTCGGTGCCTGCGATACACTCGTGACACAACGCACTCGACACGTAGAACTCCTGCGTGCACACCTGGCTGCCTATGCGGACCTCTAGGGTGGCTCTCCCCAGCAGCCCCATTCCGGCTCCGCTCGCAGTGTGCAGCGCGCGGTCCGGTTCCTGCAGGTGACGCACGTCGACCCCGATCGCGCTGCAGTGCGCTGCGCTCACGAGCGAGGCCACCGCCCCCGTGTCCAGCAGGATGCGGGTACGCACTCCGTTTACCTCCCCTTCCACCAGCGACGTGGCCCCCGTGATCCCCGCCACCAGCTCCCGTAGCCAGTCGCCAGGAGTCACCGTTTCTGTGGGCGTTGTTGCTGGAACCTGTGTGGAGATCACTCGCTCGCCATTATTCTCACACCTTGTTTGTGTCGGGGCTACGTCGATTTCACCCCCCGGTGGTCCCCTCTCTAAGGGGGCCTTAGTGTTTGACCTTAGCTCTTGTCTAGCTCGGGCGACCTGAGGACAGTCCCTCACTAGATGCCCTCGGCGATCGCACACATAACACGCCCGGGGAGGGGTGGCGGCTCCGTAGTGGGCTCTCTGCCCACTCCCTCCTCCCCCAGTGCGCTGCTGCTCATACTCTGCTTCTAGTCGCGCTATCCTTCCAGTTAGCCCTCCTACCGTGGAGTCTAGTTCCCCCATCTCGGATCGGATGGTCTCAACGGAGGATTGCAGTTTGGTCATATTTTTATTTGCTTCCTCGCGTACCTGAGTTACCCTCTCACCTACTTGGGTTATCATATCTCCCATGCCGGCCTGTAACCCGGCTACCCACCCCGGGGTCGTCTCGCTGGGTCTCTGTGGCTCTCTTTCCCGGCCCCTTACCGTCCTCGCGAGCTCCTGTTCCTCCTCCTTGTCTTCCGAGAGCAGGCTCGCAATGGCGCGCTCTCGTCCCAGCCCCCGGAGCTGCGCGCGTTCGCTGTGAATTCTTTCACACTTACGTGCGCGCTCGACAAGGGTGTTAAAGGGAAGACGTGGGCAGCTCATGTCTGGCTGCCACCACGCCGTGCGAGACAGGTACCGCTGGATTTTCTCGGCGGCCAGTTCCTCAATAACCTCAGTTGCGTACCCCGGGCGTGCGATCTTTGTTAACTCGCGCACATCCTCGGCGTAATCACGTAGATCTTCGCCAGGTTGGCGACGGCGCGCCTCTAAGGCCGATTTTGCTTCCTCCTCGTCACGCGTGCCAAAACGCTGATCGAGTCGGCGCATCAGCTCCTCTAGCTGTGTCTGTGCGCTCGCGGGTAACGCTTCTACAAAATCGGCTGCCCGCCCATCAAGATTCATATTAAGTTGACGTACTGCCTGCGCGTCCGTCCATCCATTAATTTCCTTGGCCCCTAAGAGATTGCGGGCGAATGCCTTCCACGAAGGGGCCCCCCGGCCGGTAAATATTAGTCTTATTTTAGCGTGAGGTAACGCGGGGGTCCGTACCGCTTCTGACACCAATTTGTTGGGGTCGCTAGCCCCCGAGATCCCTCCCTCGATAATGCTAACGGCCGGGCTAGCATCATCAATCGCCCCCCGCTGCTAAGCGAACCGCTGCTAAGTTCCTCACCTATGGTGTGGGAGCCGTCGCCCGCGGATTCCCCTCCACCGCGGGTCCGCGTAATGGGCATGGTTAATTACCGATTAGTATTCTGCCCCTCTCTACTACGATACTTCCCTTTCCTAATCGCGCGCCTGCAACCCACGCGGAGCGAACGCACGCACGCCCACACACACGCCGCTCCGCGCACTCCAACTCAACTCACGTTATACTCGCGCACCTGTATCACACACGGAGTGAACACACGCGACACCCACTCTCGCACCGCTCTGCGCAGCGCTCCCCCGAGGCGAGCCGCAGCACCACAGAATCACTGCGTACCCACGCGCAACCCGCGCGCTCAGCTCCGCGCAGCGCTCACTCACGTGGCGAACCACTGTGCACACAGCGCACCCACACGCTCACACTGCACGACAAGATCACGCGAGACCACGCTTCGCTATTAATGATTTATTATATGCTACCTGCGAATTGATGTTGAATCAGT